AAAAAGTGATATTCTGTCTCTTGATTTAGTTGTTAAAGAAAGTACTTTAAATTGTACTCAAATTGAATTTTGGTCTTTAAATGTACCTTTTTTATTTTTTACAGTTCAGCTCTCACTGTAAAGACTTAGCTTTTCTTTTTTTTTTTTTAATTGTTTGGGATTCTTTGAGGTGAATTCGTATTTTTTAGAATGTCTTGAAAATTAATGGGCAGTGAATATAAAACTCTGATTTCTAAGCTAAAGCATGCTGGCAGTTAAGAAGGAAGATAGTCATACAGATTTTTAAAATGAGATATGATATAAAACCTTTCTTCATAATGCTAAAAAAGACCATTTCTGTGATTTCAGAGTGCTTACCCAAATGACATGTGTCAGTACTTTTAATACCTAAAGAATCAGAGCTAAATTATAATTTTTAATGCTAAAGATTGTATATAAGGGTCAGTGCCTGTGGTTCAGTGGGTAGGGCACCAGTCCCATATACCGAAGGTGGTGGGTTCAAACCGGCCCTGGCCAAACTGCAACAAAAAAATAGCTGGCCGTTATGGCAGGTGCCTGTAGTCCCACTTACTCTGGGGCCTGAGGCAAGAGAATCGCCCATACCCAGGATTTGGAGGTTGCTGTGAGCTGTGTGACACCATAGCACTCTACTGAGGGTGATAAAGAGAGACTCTGTTTCTCTTTTCTGTCTCTACAAAAAAAAAAAAAATGATTGTATATAGGGACAAACTATGATGCTAACAAGATTTGTATTATAGGAGGGACCTTATTATAAATATATGCATTTGTCTGGGTGCGGTGGCTCATGCCTGTAATCCTAGCATTCTGGGAGTCCGAGGTCGGTAGATTGTCTGAGTTCATAGGTTCAAGAACAACCTGAGCTAAGAGCGAGACCTCATCTCTAAAAATAGCTGGGCATTGTAGAGGGTGCCTGTAGTCTCAGCTACTTGGAAGGCTGAGGCAAGAGAATCACTTAAGCCCAAGAGTTTGAGGTTGCTGTGACACCAAGGCACTCTACTGAGGGTGACAAATTGAGATTCTGTCAAAAAAAAAATATATATATATATGTATATATATATATGCTGCTTCTTACCTCATCTCCACTGAGAAAAAGTGGTCGTTGCTTACTGAGTAAAATGTGTATTCATTGTACCTTGAATATTTATATTGGAGTAATTATCACACTGTATCAGATATTGTGGGGTGTGAGGGCTTCTCAGTTGGACTGTGCACGACTTGAATACTAACAACTGTGTTCCTCCATAACAGAGGTGTGCTGATAAATCTTAAAAAAACTGACTTTCTGGGAATAAAAACATATGCATATATACATTTATAAATTTATAAATTTTATTGCTATGTAGCACAACTTACAAATAGTGATAATTAAATATGTAATACTCTTGTTGTAAAATCCTGGCACTCTGGGAGTACATAGTACTTCACTGTATAGATATACCGTAATTAATTTAATCATTTCACCATGATGGACATTTTGATTATTTCTAGGCTTTTGCTATAACAATGCTTCAATGAATAATTTCCTATGTACCTTTTTTTGTGTTTTTGTCATTGTTGGTCAGATTCTTGGAAGTAAGATTTGCTAGTCAGGAATAAATACCTCCCCAGCAGCCTAGACCTTTAAAAAGAATGAAAAAGAAAAAATTAAATAAATAAATACATAAATAAGCATCTATGTAACTTGGTTACTTCTAAATTCTCCCTTCTTGTGGTTTTTTCATTTTCCAAGCCAAAAAGGAAAAAAAGGGGAGGCTCAGTAATAGGCTGTGTTGTGAAACTTTTGGATTTTTGCCAACTCAATGGATAAGAAATAGTATCTCAGTGATTCTTAATTTGCATTTATCTCATTATGAGCAAGATTGTTAATGTTTTTATTTAATAGACATTTGCTTTTTTTTTTTTTTTTTTTGTAGAGACAGAGTCTCACTTTATCACCCTCGATAGAGTAACTGTGGCATCACAGCTCACAGCAACCTCCAGCTCCTGGGCTCAGGCAATTTTCTTGCCTCAGCCTCCCGTGAAGCTGGGAGTACAGGCGGCTGCCACAACACCAGACTATTTTTTTTGTTGCAATTTGGCCAGGGCTGGGTTTGAACCCGGCACCCTCAGCATATGGGACCAGCGCCCTACCCACTGAGCCACAGGTGCCACCTAGGCATTTGTTTTTTGTTTTTTGTAGAGACAGTCTTTCACAGTCCCAGTCCCCACATACCACACTCTCAAACCTCTGGGCTCCAGTGATCCTCCTGCCTCCAGCCTCCTGGGTAGTTGGGACTACAGGCAGGCACCATTGTGCTTGGCTGCATTTTTTTTTTCCCTATAAAATGCCTATTTATATCTCTTGCCATTTTGCCATCAGGTTGTTGGTCTTATTCTTTATTTTTAGATGCTTTTTATATAAAAGTTTATTAAATTATCTTGTAAGTTGCAAGTACTTTTTTATGGTGTCATTTGGCTTTATTCTTTGCTTGTAGTGGTGTTTTTTTTTTTTTTTGCCACATGAAAGCTTTTAATTTTATGTAATGAGATTTACCAATATATTGCACCTGATTTTGACAACTGCAAGAAAAGTTTACTCTTTAATTATTGAGGAGTTCATCTACAATTTCTCTTAGTACTTGCATAAGTTCATTTTTTTATGTTAAAATATCTGATCTTTTTTATATTTATTCTTGGAACAGATCTAAATTTATCCTTTTCTTATGAATTACTCAGTTATCTAAACACTACTTACTAAAAGGTCTCTTTTCTTCTTCACTGGTTTAAGATACAGTTTTTATCTATACTAAACTTCCATATGTACTTGGGCCAATTTCATAATTTCCTATTGTGTTTTATTGGTTTTTTATTCATGTTCCAATGCCAACTGTTAAATTAGAAAGGTTTTATAACATTTTAATATCTGATATGATTGCTCCCATCAAAGCTCTTATTTTTTCAAGGATTTTTGTGCTTTTCTTAGTTCTTTTTCCAAATGAATTTTAGAACCAGTTTGTGCTTATAGCCAAGTTCTTAATCAGGGATGTTTATCAGAGGGACTTTAGAGTTTAAAAAAAAAGAAAAAATATCTCACCCCACTAAGATCCAGTGAATCTCTGGACATTAGGCATGGAAATATACTTTGTTGTTGTTGTTGTTGTTGTTTTTATTGAGGTAGAGTCTCAAGCTGTTGTCCTGGGTACAGTGCCATGGCATCATAGCTCATAGCAACCTCCAACTCTTGGGCTCAAGTGATCCTCTTGCCTCAGTTTTTCTATTTTAGTAGAAAGCTAAAGCTAGACTTGTGAGCTCACAAGGAGGCTGGGAAATATACATTTTGAAAAAGCTCTAAAGTTGGCTCAGCCTGTAGCTCAAGCAACTAGGGCGCCATCCACATATACCAGAGCTGGCGGGTTAGAATCCAGCCTGGTCTGGCCAAACAACAATAACAACTATACCAAAAATAGCCGGGCCTTGTGGTGGGCGCCTGTAGTCCCAGCTACTTGGGAGGCTAAGGCAAGAGGATTGGTTAAGCCCAAGAGTTTGAGGTTGCTGAGAGCAGTGACACCACAGCACTCTACCCAGGGCAACAGCTTGAGACTCTGTCTCAAAAAAAAAAAGGAAGAAAGAAAAGAAAAAGCTCTAAAGTTGATTCTGATAATCTTTTTTCTTTCTTTTTTTTTTTT